ACTCCATCGCCGAAGCGGTGGATAAGCAAAAGCAAAACGCTGATAAGAATGGAAGGGCAAACACTCTTTTATTTAATAAAGGTGACTTAGTCCTACTGTCTACGGTTAATCTACCAAAGCATGTAGTGACTAACTTGGGTAGCAGTAAACTACTACCCAAGTACATCGGCCCATTTCGTGTATTGCACCGCCTAGGCAATGCATACACGATTGAGTTACCACGTAAGATGCGAACGCATCCCACGTTTTACGTTCGTCGGCTTAATCCGTACCATCAGCACGCTGCTTCTTCCGATGAAGAACGCCCTTGCGCTCAAGCATCTCGCAGAGAGCCTTGTGCTCCCGATGGTGGGCATCAACAAGGGTCTAAAGAGCAGCTATCTCATCCCGAGACCGGTCAACATCCACACGAGCTACCCTTAGCTCGTCACGCAGAGACGACAGATCTCTCTCGTTCTCAAGCTGAGCAAAGGCAAACTCAGCTCGATGCTTCAAGACAGTGTCCGCCGGTTGGAGACGCCTGTCCCGCTCATGCTCGAGATCGTCGCGTAACCCTTGCGTTACGCGATCAAAGAAGCTCTCGGGAACACACCGATCCACATGATCGTGTGGAGAGCGTCTTTCCTCCTCCTCCACCTCCATTAGAGGACTCTCGCGGTGGCCAGCGCTATCTAGTTGAGCAGCTGTTGAACCACCGCGACGTGAACGGACGTCGGACGAGTTACCTCGTCCGGTGGCGCGGCTATCCCCCGTCCTGGGATTCTTGGGAGCCCCGCTCCCAACTGATGGTCGACGTACTGGGTCTGGTCGAGCAGTACGACGCGGCACATCCTGTGCCGCAGAAGGACCGCCGGAGAAAGTCTTCCCGGCACGGTCGTAAAGGGATTTCAGGTTGTCAATCCCTTCGTACATCTCACTAGAGACACGTACGCGCCACCACGGGCTGGTAAGGAGGTAAGCCTCCTTAGGTGCTCGTGCACTGAGTTGTTCACACAACATGGGCACGAGTCTCCCCAAGAGAGGCAGGGTAATCCTTTCTCCCTTGACAGACGATGCAGCTTGTAGCGTGCACCTGTCGGGGTTCGCTTTTCAAACTTATCACGAGCTTTGATAAGTTTGTCGTTCCAAGCGTCACGACCTACATCCTCGAGGTTATGGATGTAGGCGTTCCACGCCTGAAGTAGTGAGGGACCATCACGTTTGTGATTCCCACTGTACCATCGATGTCTGAAGAAAGCATCGATGAAGAATTCATGTTCAGCGCGATAGTTTTTCGCACTGGGGTCAAGGTGATGGATCCTTGACGAATCGAACAACCGTGTTCGATAACGATCACTCGTCGTCGCCGACAAGTGATCCATGACGGATTTTGGAGGCATCCATGCCTTCTTCTCAGGAGCGAGACGCAACACATTGCGGTCCCGCTCTTCCTGCGACGTGCCGACAGAAGTACTGGCACCTCGCTGTGAAGTGGTGTCCATAGGAGAACCGACACCACTATTAGCGCCCGAGTCTCGCGACCTCGAGCGCCTTCGCTTCGGCGATGGTTCATCTGATTCATCAGATGAACCAAAGATGCTACGACGCAAAGCATCGTCCATGCCACGCTTGGCAGGCGGCTTGGATTCGATCGCCGTCGATACGGATCCGTCATCCGTATCAGGAGAGTATGAGACACCGAGCTCGTACTCTGTGAAGACACGAGTGTCTTCATGACCAGCGCCTGCGTCACCAAGTGACACAGGCTGGGTCTCTTCAGCAACCGATGGGACATCAGTTGCTGTTGTTTCTGCTTCGGCGTCCGCACAGAGACGTGCAGACGCGCTCTCGGCGGCCTTGCTCGCGCATCGCATGGGCTTGTTTACCATGCGATGAAATGTTGGAAAGTGGACGCGGACCAACAAGTGCAAACCCTGTCCCAAATGATTTGGGACGAGTATCCGTTTAGTCAATCAGTCACTAAAGTGACTGATGGTTAAGGGGGGTGATGTAACGGGGTGAATCGTTACATAACAATTTATAAGAAATTGTTAATAGAATATAACTATAAGAGTTATATTCTCAGAATATTGTCATAAGGACAAATATTCTGTAGCACTTACAAGTAGTTCCTAATTGGTTGATATAGGCCATTATATCAACCAACGAAGACGAGCCACGACAGACGCACGCAATGAGTGGTGAGCAGATAACTGATTTACACATTTGTATTTAGACATAGTTAGATGAAGATAAATAGTGATTTATTGCAGACATTAACTATTATCAATACAGTTCTACTTTTTACTCTAACCAAGTACTCGCTTCTTCTTACCGTCTTCCTCTGCACGTACGAGTGTACGTGAAGTTACGAGGCACCGCCTTATTCTGTTATCAGAATAAGTAGCTTGTACTGTCACCAGTACAAGCTTCAGGGTGCCCCGTTACACATGTCAAACACAATTGCTTGATCTTTTTGGCGTCTTCCGAGTTTTCATAGTTATCACTTCCAGCAAGCTGCTGGCGCGCTCCTTCGAAGGAGGAAAGCTATCAAGCCAATGGAGAAATCTTATCACCCTCTTGACTTTAAATTTCTTCACCATATGCACAAGTATCTCAACGTCTTCGAACGCGCGAGTTTGAATGTTAAACAACTCCACATACGCAGACCACTCGTAGAGCTTCTGAAATATGGTGAGATCCTGATTCGACCCCGAGGGACATCAACATGCTCCAGAAAGTTCGTATATGCTTTTTTCTGCAAGGCTATCAGTTCCCCCTGTAATCCTTGATGAATTGCAGCGCTCCCGTGTGACACTACATCGTTCAACCCTCTCTCCTCGTCGCGGCGGTGAACAAAGTCGCTCGCTGCCACTGTAGAGTCCTGCGAGTGCAAGTGTCCTGGCCCGTCGAACGCAGTAAGTTCCAGAGGAGAATGCAGAGTGGAAATGTTAACTGCCTCATTGTTCGTCCCACTGTCGACAGTGGTTCTAGAATCGGCACTTGTTAGAACCAAGAAGACGGAGGCCGTGACCACGTGACAAGTGGGACGCATCATTCTTCTTCCTAACTGCGAGGGGTTTTGAGAAATGAGAGAAGCCAGTTCTCCTGGTCGGAATGTGTGGACCACGTAGATGTCGATCGACCGACCGACCGACCAGTTCCTGTCACTACTGCAGGGGTTGGTCATAATGCTGACATAGTGTCGGTCACAGGGAGCCACAAGCCAGCCAGACTGTCGACCAGCCTGCTGCTCCGTCATTGGCTATAAATGCGTCTTCTTCACATGATCAATGGTAACGGCTGGGTTCAATTTTGATTCGGCTATGACATTCAATTTCGTCATCTGAAAGAGCTCAGAAAGACGTCCAATTTCGTCAGGAGTAGATCGTAAGTACTCAATTCACTAATATTGTTTACCCACTTACTTGCCCGTTCAAAGCCCAAACAGACGGTTTCAGTGCAATTCGCGGCTTCAGGTCCAACTACATTCCTTCCTTCCTGCCCGAACTCCAATCTTATTAGCAACAACAACAACACAGGTGCATTTTTAGGGGACTGCTGATACAACCCACTTTGTACGAGATACACCCCGTACACCACACCCGTGCTACGCCACACTATGGTTTGTACGACGAACATCGCGCTAATTCACCTGTATACGACCACTATAGCACAACAATCTACAAAAGTCGTATGTATAGTAAGTGATTTTACCAGTCTATCTCGCATCTGCGAAATGACCATTGCGTCGTTCAAAAACTAGCATCGCAGACGCAAATAGCCCTCAGTCTCGTCACCCGCTGTGTTAGCAGAATGTACGTCAATAAGAGTAAGCCCAAGTGAACAATATCGCGATGAAAAACAAACTATAGCGAGTTTGTAGCATCTTGCAGAGTGAACATTGTGACGCCAGCTGGTCGCATGTTATGCTAGGAATCCAAATATTGGCTACGTTACTCGTGTGAACTGAAAAGGACAAAGATCAAATACAATATACGTGGTGATACAACTAATAAAAAGAGACCTATCACACCACCTCGAACGATGGAGATCGGATACTCATAGTGCAGCTAGACAATCATTTTATTATTTGGCCGACAATGATCTTGTCCCAACGCAGATTCAGGATAGACTCGATCGAAAAAATATAGCTGTATATAGAATTTGTCGTTCTTAGCGGTAACTTTCTATGCAATGTTCGAATGCGATTACGTTTGGTGTAAGTGAACTTTTGTTTCATCCATTTTTTGTGTCTTTCTCGACTGAAACGTTGCTATTGTCATTTCTTCGAGAAACAACTAGCCTTTTAGATGTATCTGACATGTTATGACGAGTGATTCGTTCTCTATCATCAATGTGTTTTCGAAAGCAAAGAGCCCCAATCGTCTATTGTGTGCGAAAACAAGTTTGCTTAAAAGATCACTCAACATTTGTACGATTGATGCAGATTGTGATGTGCGATAGTGGACGTACAGAGGTAATTGGCGCAAAGTTGATTGTACAAATCGTGTTGTGATGTGGCATTGGTGTAAGATTTGGGGTGTATTATGTAAAGAGTGAGGTGTGTTCAACAATAGCCTTTTCAGTGCGCGCAACAATATTCATTTTGGGAATGCGCAAGTGCGGCCTTGTCACTGCTGCCGTCCGCGATGCACATGGACGTGCCACATACTCATCGTTGTGCGTATATGAAGATTCCACTAACACTTTCGTCTCGCGTAGAAAGACATTCTTCGTGAACTTAGTTATGCCCATTATGCCCGCATTGCCAATTGATAGACGTGCGAATTTGTACTTTTAGAAGGGCATCTATCCAATTATCATGAAGACGGTGATTCCTTTATTAAGGAGAGATGACGTGTAGTTAATGAAAGGTGACCTTGATCTTACACCGGATACATCCTCCAGATGAGCTATTTGAGATCAAAGCCGATTGCATTGAGGTCGTGAAATCTGCACCAAAGATGTTCTTCAAGCAAGTACAGCCGAAGAAATGAAATACTAGATCAAGACGGTGCATGCGCACATTTTGCTTCATTTTACAGGATTTGCACTCGTACGACTCGAAAGAGGAGACAGGGATGGTGGGATTGAAAAACCAGGGGGCTACATGCTACTTGAACTCGCTGTTGCAGACGTTATTTCACTTGCGAGCATTTAGGCAGATGGTGTATGAAACGTCCACGGCTCAGGAAGATACCAATAATTCTGTGTCATTGGCACTGCAGCGTGTATTTCACCGGTTACAGAGTCAACAAAAGGTAGTGTCGACGAAGGAACTGACGCGCTCGTTTGGATGGAGTGCAATCGACTCGTTCATGCAGCATGACGTGCAGGAGCTGTACCGAATTTTGTGCGATCGGTTAGAAGAAAAAATGAAACACACGAGAGTGGACTCGGCAATTCCGAAGCTTTTTGAAGGCAAAGTAAGGTCTTTTGTGCAATGTGTGAATGTGGACTTTCAGTCTTTTCGTGATGAAAGCTTTTATGACTTGCAACTGGACGTGAAAGGCTGTAAAGACTTGATGCAGTCTTTTCGTAAGTATGTGGAAGTGGAAATGCTGGATGGTGACAATCAGTACGACGCTGAAGGACATGGGAAACAGGATGCCAAGAAGGGTATTGAGTTTGCCTCGTTTCCACCTGTCCTTAATATCCAGCTTAAGCGCTTTGAGTACGATGCCATGCGTGATGGCATGGTCAAGGTTCACGATCGCTTCGAGTTTCCAAAAGTTCTTATTCTCGATGAATTTATCGCTCACAGTAGCGCAACAAAAGACACCAACGAGAAATCTCCACGGTATGTTTATCATCTCCATAGTGTTCTGGTTCACAGTGGTGATGTGCACGGCGGTCATTACTACGTATTTATTCGACCTGGAAAGCATACTAGTTCAAGTACGAGTTGGTTCAAGTTTGACGATGACCAGATCACGCGCGTGGATGAACGTATAGCAATCGAGGGAAATTTTGGTTCTGGTGGGACTCCTGTAACACCACAAGGAGGATCTACGGAATCGCCGTCGCCTTTGCACTCGTCATCAATTTTTGGTCCGTCTGATATAAACGCTGAAAATGCTAATGAGCCTGGTGGCATGGATGGCTTAGAATTTACGTCGGTGGCTGCACCGGGCGAGCCCGGTACTGGTGGCGGCAGCGCAACGGATGAAGGATATGAGTACAGTCAATATAACGACACGAGCAGTATCCCGTTACGTCCTTCGTCAAGCACTCAGATGCTTCCAATTGGTAGGAGTTTTTCTAGCGCATACATGCTCGTGTACGTGCGCAACGGTGAGAACGACATCAGCGCCATTCAGGAAGGGGCTTTTGTGGATACAGAGAGTATCACAACGACACCTTGTGCTTCAAAAAAAATATCCGCGGCTGATCATTTACTCAACAGCATTAAAACGGAAGTACCACCTATCAAACCGGAGATTCGTACTTGGGAAAGCGATCCGGTGTCGATTCCGACCGAGCTGGTTACACGGTTCCACGAGGAGGAAGAAGCAGTTAGCCGGCGCAAGAAAGCTCAGCAAACAGAGCATGTAACGGGGTGAAACTTTACGTAATTAATTTAGACACGAGATTGTTAAACTGAGACTTATAACATATAAGACGTCATACTTCTCTGAGTATTTCCCAGTAACTCGAACAAGTTGCTATATGCCATTATACGCACCGCATCGATCCTTTGGCTGATATACGACCATTATATCAACGAGACGGCGCCCATGACGACAGACGCCCAATGAGTGGTGAGCAGATAACTGATGTACACATTTGTATTTAGACATAGTTAGATGAAGATAAACAGTTATTTTTTAAAAAACATTAACTATTATAAATACAGTTCTACTTTTTACTTTAACCAAGTACTCGCTTCTTCTTGCCGTCTTCCTCTGCACGTACGAGTGTACGTGAAGTTACGAGGCACCGCCTTATTCTGTCATCAGAATAAGTAGATTGTACTGTTACCAGTACAAGCTTCAGGGTGCCCCGTTACACCTGGTAGCACTTCGTAGTCCGTCCAAGGACCGCGTTCACATCCAACATGAATATGTTGGATGATGAAGATGACCAAAGCTTTCACGCTACGCGTGACGGCTACTCCCATTTGAGCGATGTCGAATGGGATGCGGTTGAACGAATGGGTTCGACCATGGGCATCCATGCTGTTAGCGTCATGCTAGAGGCTCTCAAAAGAGATGCCCAACATGCTACTATCGCCAAGTTCATTCAAAATGAGCTTGACGCTGAACGCGATAAAGTAGCCTTGCTTCGCCAGCAAGGTTCTCAACAATCAGAGTTGTTGAGAGAACAGGGTGTTCAACAGTTTGAACTGTTGAGACAGCAGCAGGCTGCTGCTGGTGGGTCGATGCACTCGCGTCGACCCGAGACTTTGAAGATTGACATCTCTACGTATAGGGGAGTCGAAGAAGACTCCCTCTTGAGATGGTTCGTCGAATCAGACGACGCCATAAGGGCGCGTTGCATCGACGACGGGGATATGCAAGTTGCATTTGCCCAATCAAATCTGGCAGGAAGTGCCAAGACTTGGGCTTTGGGACTCAAGTTGCACGACCCATATGCGTTTGGGTCGTTGGAAGTCTTCAAGTCGCGGCTCAGACAAACGTTTGAAGCGCCCAGAGCTGAGTTCAGAGCTCGAACTGAACTATTGAAGCTCAAACAGGGTAAGCGTGATGTGCACGCTTACGCGCAACATATACGACATCTCACGAGTTGTATAAGTTCCAATCTGGTGGATGAACACACGTTGGTTTCGGTGTTCATGCAGGGTCTTGCGGATGGTCCCGTCAAGACTCACCTGTTCCGACTTAACCTGGATTCACTAGAACAAGTCGTTTCCATGGCGAACAAGAAGACTTCAGTCTGAGACAGGCTCGCGCCAGCTCGACATCATATCTTCCACCGAGACGATATGACAGCGGAGGTCCTGAGCCGATGGAACTCTGTTGTGTAGAGAGCGAGAAGGTTCGCTCTACAGGCTACAAGAAGTTGCAGAGATGCAACAGATGTCAAAAGACAGGACACTACGCTTACGAGTGTAGTGCCCCTCGTCCAGTGTCTCGCGACACTGGGCGTAGTGACCGTCCACCCATGAGAAAGGGGCAGGGACGAGGGTCCGCCGTTGGTGCAAAGACGCAACAACGGGATGGACCGTCAAAAAACGGACAGGATCAGTAGGTGCGGAGCACCCTACTGGTCTAGCAACGTCAAGAGAATTTGTAGGCCTCTTGATGAAGGTTGCTCCCAACACACAAACGTTGTGCGTTGCTGCTCTAGGTAATGAGATCTCACTCATTACCTTGAAACTCGAAGTGACGAATAAGTTGTCCCTTCGAGCTCTAGTCGATTGTGGGGCGTCCAACAATTTTGTGCGACGCCGATCGCTAGAAGGTGGTCACTTTAAGTTCAGTGAATGTGACACATCTCCTACGGGGATGATGGTACGTCGTGCGACAGACGCATCCGTAACTGTCATGAAGCGCATAGTGAAGATTCACTATACGCTAGACGATACCCAAATATGACGATGAATTTGTCTTATTGGATTTGGATGACAAATTTGATGTCATCCTTAGAATACCGTGGCTTAGAAGGTACGAACCACGAGTAAACTGGCAACATCGAACAGTAACGATGCCTGCCGCTTGTTCATCAGATGGCCATCTGATGAACGTTTTGGAGCGTTCACAAGCGTGTGGATGTACTACGAGTGAGTGCGATGGCCTCACTTGTGGTACGGTCGTTAGTACGACTGCACAAAACCTTAGTGTACCAAACGGTTACACTTCGGAGCAAAGTTCCGGCGGCTGTGAGGAAACACAGGCTGCGCCGAAGGTCCACCACTCGAATAAGTCGGGTGGACTGGGACAAAGATGTATCCCTAGCGGGGAACATCTAGAAGAGAAACAATCGATCGCTCAGGTTAAGCGAAACGATAATCCTAGATCGACTGGAGAGTCTTTCGTAGAGGATCTCGATGTGGTTGCGTCACCCCAGCTAGAGGAAGTTAAGGGAATAAGTCCCGATATTACAAATACGGCGGAAATAAGTTCCCCGAAACCCGCGGGAATAAGTCCCCGGGAAGACGAAGGAATAAGTCCTTCGAGGCCTGAGGGAATAAGTCCCCAGGAAATGACAGAGACATTGAATGTCATAGTCAATAACGGATCAAGTGTAGGCGCTTATACACTTGATCTGATTGCGCCTCCGAAATTGTCTTCGCAGATCACTCAGTTGCCAACGCTCGAACATAAAAGGTTCTTGCGTGATCTGCGTAGTGGCAAAGTCAAGCAGATCTGCGTACTCGTCGCTGACGACGAGTGTGTAGCCGACATAAGGTCAGCAACAGTGTTTACTGAGAACGAGAGAGTTCTCAGTAGTTCATCTATGGACGAGAGTGTCCTAGACGAAAAGACACGAATTGAGCGATACGACTCCCGATCGTGGGAATCGCTCAAGACAAATCCTCTTTATAAAGAACTGGTTGAATTCAAGGATGCAGTCCCTGAAACAGTTCCGTGCGAGTTACCGAAGGATAAAGGTATTCGACACGATGTCGAGCTTAAACCAGGCTCGAAGTACTGTGTGATGAAGCAGTGGTCACTGCCTCGTGAACAAGTACTTGCGATCGACAAGTTCTTTGCCAATCGTTTAGCAGCGGGCCATGTGAGGGAATCAACTTCCCCACATAGCTCTCCGACCTTCTGTGTGCGAAAAGCAACAGGAGGGTGGCGGATAGTGCATGCATTTAACAAGTTGAATGCTGCAACGGTACCGGCTCAGATGCCGATACCGAGGAAGGACGTAATCATTGATGGTATGTCAAAGAGTACCATCTTTTCGTCCATGGATTTGATGGATGGCTTCTATCAAATCCTTATGCGAGAACGGGATATACCCTATACCGCAGTTAGCACGCCTAGTGGCATGCTCTGGGAATGGCTAGTAATGCCACAAGGGCTTAGTAATGCCCCTGCCACGTTCAACATATGTGTATCACATCTGTTGAGACTAGTACGAGAATTCGCGCCGAGTTATTTCGATGACGTATTCATCCATAGTCGAGCTATGGATGGAAAGTCGGACGTTGCGGTTCACAGGTACCACGTCCGACAAGTTCTTACAATCATGCGAAAGCATCAATTGTATGCAAACCTCAAGAAGTGTATATTTGCAGCAAGCGAAATACCACTTCTTGGATGCATCGTTGGTAAGAACGGTGTACGTCCTGATCCGGAAAAGATCAAGGCGATCACCGACTGGCCTGTGCCGGTTGATGTCAAAGGTCTTCGAAAATTCCTTGGGCTAGCGGCGTATTTGCATAAGTATTCACGCAATTACGCCGAGATGACTGTGCATCTCTCTCGTTTGTTGAAAAAGAATGAGAGGTGGTTATGGAACGCTGAATGTCAACGCTCCTTGGAGGGTATCAAGCAGAGCTTGATACAATCCCCAGTCCTAGCAATAGCCGATCAGGACAGGCCATTTCATGTGGTCTGTGATGCCAGCGATTTCGCAATCGGCTGTGCACTAATGCAGTACGATCTTGAAGGCGTTGAACGCGTCGTCTGCTATCAGTCGCGTCAGCTGCAACCAGCTGAGCGGAACTATCCAGTGCATGACAAGGAACTCCTTGCCATGAAGTATGCACTCGCGAAGTTCAGAGTCTATCTATTAGGAGATAGACCCTTCGTTGTTTACACTGACCATGCGTCATTACGCACGGCAGTGAACAGCCCGCACCTTTCACAAAGAATGGCGCGGTGGTTGTCATTCTTTGCAGAATACAACTTTACGGTCGAGTACAAACCAGGACGACTTAATGTCGTCGCTGATGCACTCTCACGTCGTCCCGACTTTGAAACAGTCGCGAAACCCAACAGTGAGACAGTCACTGTTGCGGTTATGACGTCCTCAGTCCCATCTACAACATTGCATGATGATGTGAGGCGGGCGTACGCCCAAGTTGGTGAGATAGTGAAGTTGTTGGCACATCCCTCACAACCATCTCGAGAATCGTTGAAACGATTGTCTTCTGCGTATCGATCTGCATCAGATCGATACACTACTCGCAACGGGTTACTGTATTATACAGCCGTGTCTGGTGACACACCACGTGTTGTCATTCCATATGATACTGATCTGCGTTTGCGGATCATGTTCGAGTATCACGATGCTCTTATAGGAGGACATCGTGGCCGGGAGAAACGTATCTCACGGTGAGGCGAGACTTTTACTGGCCCCGCCAGTATCAGTTTGTGCGAAAGTATGTTCGCGCATGCGAAGTCTGCCAACGAGTGAAGTCAAGTCCTTCACTGCGTGCACCTTTACAGCCTCTACCGGTTCCGGCTGAGTGCTGGGAATCCATCTCAATGGATTTCGTCTTCGGGTTACCCAAAGACGCACGCGGGAATACGGGTATTCTCGTATTTGTTGACAGATTCAACAAAATGGTACACCTTGTGGCTGTACCAGAGTCAATCACGGCAAGTGGCTGCGCTTGTGTCTTTATTCACACCATCTTTCGACTTCATGGGTTGCCCCGTGATCTCGTATCAGACAGAGATCCACGATTCACTGCTGATTTCTGGCGTTCCGTGTTCAAATCACTCGGAACGCGCTTGAAGATGTCGACATCCGATCATCCAGAGTCAGATGGTCAGACGGAACGTGCCAATCGTGTCCTTGAAGAGATACTTCGAGGATACGTACACTCCTATAAGAGTTGGAGTGAGTTTTTGCCAACGGTAGAGTTTGCCATCAACAACTCGGTGCATGCGTCCACGACAAATACACCGTTTTACGTGAATGGCTTACGCCATCGGCGTGTACCCACCTTACTAGAGTGTAACTCTGGTTTAAAGGGAGAGAGACTCGCGCGAGCAAAAACCGATTTGGTTCACGCTCATCACGCTCTGACGAAGAGGTCATTGCGTTTGATGCCGATATCGATAACATCGATATCGAAGAAGATGATGCCAGTGAGAGCGAGGAAGCCCTCACTGAAGAATCGATTGATGTCGCTGCAGTGCACTCACAGCGCACTGAAGCTAACGAGTCATCAGATGAGTTCATACTGGCTCGTGAAACGGTAGTCCGTTTTGTGCAAGATTCCATCGCCGAAGCGGTGGATAAGCAAAAGCAAAACGCTGACAACAATGGAAGGGCAAACACTCTTTTATTTAATGAATGTGACTTATTCCTACTGTCTACGGTTAATCTACCAAAGCATGTAGTGACTAACTTGGGTAGTAGTAAACTTCTACCCAAGTGCATCGGCCCATTTCGTGTATTGCATCGCCTAGGCACTTCATACACGATCGAACTGCCACTTAAGATGCTAACGCATCTCACGTTTTACTTTGGTCGGCTTAAGCCGTACCATCAGTACGCTGCTTCTTCCGATGAAGAACGCCCTTGCGCTCAAGCATCTCGCAGAGAGCCTTGTGCTCCCGATGGTGGGCATCAACAAGGGTCTGAAGAGCAGCTATCCCATCCCGAGACCGGTCAACATCCACACGAGCTACCCTTAGCTCGTCACGAAGAGATGTCAGAGCTCTCTCGTTCTCAAGCTGAGCAAAGGAAAACTCAGCTCGATGCTTCAAGACAGTGTCCGCCGGTTGGAGACGCCTGTCCCGCTCATGTTCGAGATCGTTGCGTAACCCTTGCGTTACGCGATCAAAGAAGCTCTCGGGAACACACGGATCCCCCCGATCGTGTAGAGAGCGTCTTCCCTCCTCCTCCACCTCCATTAGAGGACTCTCGCGGTGGCCAGCGCTATCTAGTTGAGCAGCTGTTGAACCACCGCGACGTGAACGAACGTCGGACGAGTTATCTCGTCCGGTGGCACGGCTATCCCCCGTCCTGGGATACTTGGGAGCCCCGCTCCCAACTGATGATCGACGTACTGGGTCTGGTCGAGCAGTACGACGCGGCACATCCTGTGCCGCAGAAGGACCGCCGAAGAAAGTCTCCCCAGCACGGTCGTAAAGAGATTTCAGGTTGTCAATCCCTTCGTACACCTCACTAGCGTTACGTACGCGCCACCACGGGCTAGTAAGGAATTAAGCCTCCTTAGGTGCGTGCGCTGAGTTGTTTACACAACAAGGGCACGGGTCTCCCCATGAGAGGCAGGGTAATCCCTTCGCCCTTGACAGACGATGCAGCTTGTAGCGTGCACCTGTCGGGGTTCGCTTTTCAAACTTATCACGAGCTTTGATAGTTTTGTCGTTCCAAGCGTCACGACCTACATCCTCAAGGTTATGGATGTAGGCGTTCCACGCTTGAAGCAGTGAGGGACCATCACGCTTGTGATTCCCACTGTACCACCGATGTCTAAAGAAAGCATCGATGAAGAATTCATTCTTAGCGCGATAATTTTTCGCACTGGGGTCAAGGTGATGGATCCTTGACGAATCGAACAACCTTGTTCGATAACGATCACTCGTCGTCGCCGAAAAGTGATCCATGACGGATTTTGGAGGCATCCATGCCTTCTTCTCGGGAGCGAGACGCAAGACATTGCGGTCCCGCTCTTCCTACGATGTGCCGACAGAAGTACTGGCACCTCGTTGCGAAGTGGTGTCCATAGGAGAACCGACACCACTGTTAGCGCCCGATTCTCGCGACCTCGAGCGCCTTCGCTTCGGCGATGATTCATCTGATTTGTCAGATGAACCAAAGATGCTACGACGCATAGCATCATCCATGCCACGCTTGGCAGGCGGCTTGGATTCAATCGCCGTCGATACGGATCCGTCTTCCGTATCAGGAGAGTACGAGACACCGAGCTCGTACTCTGGGAAGACATGCGTGTCTTCATGACCAGCGCCTGCATCACCAAGTGACACAGGCTGAGTCGCTTCAGCAACCGATAAGACATCAGTTGCTGTGGTTTCTGCTTCGGCGTCCGCACAGAGACGTGCGGACGCGCTCTCGGCGGCCTTGCTCGCGCATCGCATGGGCTTGTTAACCATGCGATGAAATGTTGGAAAGTGGACTCGGACCAACAAGTGCAAACCCTGTCCCAAATGATTTGGGACGAGTATCCATTTAGTCAATCAGTCACTAAAGTGACTGATGGTTAAGGGGGGGGTGATGTAACGGGGTGAATCGTAACATAACAATTTAGAAGAAATTGTTAATGGAATATAACTATACGAGTTATATTCTCAGAATATTGTCATAAGGACAAATATTCTGCAGCACTTACGAGTAGTTCCTAATTGGTTGATATAGGCCATTTTATCAACCAACGAAGACGCGCCACGACAGACGCACGCAATGAGTGGTGAGCAGATAGTTGATGTACACATTTGTATTTAGACATAGTTAGATGAGGATAAACATTGGTTTATTAACAGACATTAACTATGATAAATACAGTTCTACTTTTTACTTTAACCAAGTACTCGCTTCTTCTTGCCGTCTTCCTCTGCACGTACGAGTGTACGTGAAGTTACGAGGCACCGCCTTATTCTGTCATCAGAATAAGTAGATTGTACTGTCACCAGTACAAGCTTCAGGGTACCCCGTTACACCTGGTAGCACTTCGTAGTCCGTCCAAGGACCGCGTTCACATCCAACATGAATATGTTGGATGATGAAGATGAACAAAGCTTTCACGCTACGCCTGACGGCTACTCCCATTTGAGCAATGTCGAATGGGATGCGGTTGAACGAATGGGTTCAACCATGGACATCCATGCTGTTAGCGTCATGCTAGAGGCTCTCAATAGAGATGCCCAACATGCTACTATCGCCAAGTTCATTCAAAATGAGCTTGACGCTGAACGCGATAAAGTAGCCTTGCTTCGCCAGCAAGGTTCTCAACAATCAGAGTTGTTGAGAGAACAGGGTGTTCAACAGTTTGAACTGTTGAGACAGCAGCAGGCTGCTGCTGGTGGGTCGATGCACTCGCGTCGACCCGAAACCTTGAAGATTGACATCTCTACGTATAGGGGAGTCGAAGAGGACTCCCTCTTGAGATGGTTCGTCGAATCAGACGACGCCATAAGGGCGCGTTGCATCGACGACGGGGATATGCAAGTTGCATTTTCCCAATCAAATCTGGCAGGAAGTGCCAAGACTTGGGCTTTGGGACTCAAGTTGCACGACCCATATGCGTTTGGGTCGTTGGAAGTCTTCAAGTCGCGGCTCAGACAAACGTTTGAACCGCCTAGAGCTGAGTTCAGAGCTCGAACCGAACTCTTGAAACTCAAGCAGGGAAGCGTGATGTGCACGCTTACACGCAACACATACGACATCTTACGAGTTGTATAAGTTCCAATCCAGTGGATGAACACACGTTGGTTTCGGTGTTCATTCAGGGTCTTGCGGATGGTCCCGTCAAGACTAACCTGTTCCGACTTAACCTGGATTCACTAGAACAAGTCGTTTCCATGGCGAACAAGAAGACTTCAGTCTGAGACAGGCTCGCGCCAGCTCGACATCATATCTTCCACCGAGACGATATGACAGCGGAGGTCCAGAGCCGATGGAACTCTGTTGTGTAGAGAGCGAAAAGGCTCGCTCTACAGGCTACAAGAAGTTGCAGAGATGCAACAGATGTCAAAAGACAGGACACTACGCTTACGAGTGTAGTGCCCCTCGTCCAGTGTCTCGCAACACTGGGCGTAGTGACCGTCCACCCATGAGAAAGGGGCAGAGACGCGGGTCCGCTGTTGGTGCAAAGACGCAACAACGGGATGGACCGTCAAAAAACGGACAGGATCAGTAGGTGCGGAGCACCCTACTGGTCCAGCAACGTCAAGAGAATTTGTAGGCCTCTTGATGAAGGTTGCTCCCAACACACAAAAGTTGTGCGTTGCTACTCTAGATAATGAGATTTCACTCATTACCTTGAAACTCGAAGTGACGAATAAGTTGTCCCTTCGAGCTCTAGTCGATTGTGGGGCGTCCAACAATTTTGTGCGACGCCAATCGCTAGAAGATGGTCACTTCAATTTCAGTGAATGTGACACATCTCCTACGAGGATGACGGTACGTCGTGCGACAGACGCATCCGTAACCGTCATGAAGCGTATAGTGAAGATTCACTATACGCTAGAAGATACTCAAATATGGCGATGACTTTGTCGTATTGGATTTGGATGACAAATTTGATGTCATCCTTAGAATACCGTGGCTCAGAAGGTACGAACCACGAGTAAACTGGCAACATCGGACAGTAACGATGCCTGCCGCTTGTTCATCAGATGGCCATCTGATGAACGTTTTGGAGCGTCCACAAGCGTGTGGATGTACTACGAGTGAGTGCGATGGCCTCACTTGTGGTACGGTCGTTAGTACGACTGCAGAAAACCTTAGTGCAACAAACAGTTACACTTCGGAGCAAAGTTCCGGCAGCTGTGAGGAAACACAGGCTGCGCCGAAGGTCCACCACTCGAATAAGTCGAGTGGACCGGGACAAAGATGTATCCCTAGCGGGGAACATCTAGAAGAGAAACAATCGATCGCTCAGGTTAAGCGAAACGATAATCCTAGATCGACTGGAGAGTCTTTCGTAGAGGATCTCGCTGTGGTTGCGCAACCACAGCTAGAGGAAGTTAAGGGAATAAGTCCCGATATTACAAATACGGCGGAAATAAGTTCCCCGAAACCCGCGGGAATAAGTCCCCGGGAAGCCGAAGGAATAAGTCCTTCGAGGCCTGAGGGAATAAGTCCCCAGGAAATGACAGAGACATTGAATGTCATAGTCAATAACGGATCAAGTGTAGGCGCTTATCCACTTGATCTGATTGCGCCTCCGAAGTTGTCTTCGCAGATCACTCAGTTGCCAACACTCGAACATTAAAGGTTCTCGCGTGATCTGCGCAGTGGCAAAGTCAAGCAGATCTGCGTGCTCGTCGCTGACGACGAGTGTGTGGCCGACATAAGGTGAGCAACAATGTTTACTTAGAACGAGAGAGTTCTCAGTAGTTCATCAATGGACGAGAGTGTCCTCGATGAAAAGACACGAGTTGAGCGATACGACTCCCAATCGTGGGAATCGCTCAAGACAAATCCTCTTTATAAAGAACTGGTTGAATTCAAGGATGCAGTCCCTGAAACAGTTCCGTGCGAGTTACCGAAGGATAAAGGTATTCGACACGATGTCGAGCTTAAACCAGGCTCGAAGTACTGTGTGATGAAGCAGTGGTCACTGCCTCGTGAACAAGTACTTGCGATCGACAAATTCTTTGCCGATCGTTTAGCAGCGGGCCATGTGAGGGAATCAACTTCCCCACATAGCTCTCCAACCTTATGTGTGCGGAAAGCAACAGGAGGGTGGCGGATAGTGCATGCATTTAACAAGTTGAATGCTGCAACGGTACCGGCTCAGACGCCGATACCGAGGAAGGACGTAATCATTGATGGTATGTCAAAGAGTACCATCTTTTCGTCCATGGATTTGATGGATGGCTTCTATCAAATCCTAATGCGGGAACGGGATATACCCTATACCGCAGTTAGCACGCCTAGTGGCATGCTCTGGGAATGGCTAGTAATGCCACAAGGGCTTAGTAATGCCCCTGCCACGTTCAACAGATGTGTATCACATCTGTTGAGACCAGTACGAGAATTCGCGCCGAGTTATTTCGATGACGTATTCATCCATAGTCGAGCTATGGATGGAAAGTCGGACGTTGCGGTTCACAGGTACCACGTCCGACAAGTTCTTACAATCATGCGAAAGCATCAATTGTATGCTAACCTCAAGAAGTGTATATTTGCAGCAAGCGAAATACCACTTCTTGGGTGCATCGTTGGTAAGAACGGTGTACGTCCTGATCCCGAAAAGATCAAGGCGATCACCGACTGGTCTGTGCCAGTTGACGTCAAAGGTTTTCGAAAATTCCTTGGGCTAGCGGCGTATTTGCATAAGTATTCACGCAATTACGCCGAGATGACTGTGCATCTCTCTCGTTTGTTGAAAAAGAACGAGAGGTGGTTATGGAACGCTGAATGTCAGCGCTCCTTTGAGGGTATCAAGCAGAGCTTGATACAATCCCCAGTCCTAGCAATAGCCGATCAGGACAGGCCATTTCATGTGGTCTGTGATGCCAGCGATTTCGCAATCGGCTGTGCATTAATGCAGTACGATCTTGAAGGCGTTGAACGCGTCGTCTGCTATCAGTCGCGTCAGCTGCAACCAGCTGAGCGGAACTATCCAGTGCATGACAAGGAACTCCTTGCAATGAAGTATGCACTCGCGAAGTTCAGAGTCTATCTATTAGGAGATAGACCCTTCATTGTCTACACTGACCATGCGTCATTACGCACGGCAGTGAACAGCCCGCACCTTTCACAACGAATGGCGCGGTGGTTGTCATTCTTTAGAATACAACTTTACGGTCGAGTACAAACCAGGACGACTTAATGTCGTCGCTGATGCACTCTCACGTCGGCCCGACTTTGAACCAGTCGTGAAACCCAACAGTGAGACAGCCACTGTTGCGGTTATGACGTCCTCAGTACCATCTACAACGTTGCATGATGATGTGAGGCGGGCGTACGCCCAAGTTGGTGAGATAGTGAAGTTGTTGGCACATCCCTCACAACCATCTCGAGAATCGTTGAAACGATTGTCTTCTGCGTATCGATCTGCATCAGATCGATACACTACTCGCAACGGGTTACTGTATTATACAGCCGTTTCTGGTGACACAACACGTGTTGTCATTCCATATGATACTGATCTGCGTTTGCGGATCATGTTCGAGTATCACGATGCTCTTATAGGAGGACATCGTGGCCGGGAGAAAACATATCTCACGGTGAGGCGAGACTTTTACTGGCCCCGCCAGTATCAGTTTGTGCGAAAGTATGTTCGCGCATGCGAAGTCTGCCAACGAGTGAAGTCAAGTCCTTCACTGCGTGCACCTTTACAGCCTCTACCGGTTCCGGCTGAGTGCTGGGAATCCATTTCAATGGATTTCGTCTTCGGGTTACCCAAAGACGCACGCGAGAATACGGGTATTCTCGTATTTGTTGACAGATTCAACAAAATGGTACACCTTGTGGCTGTACCAGAGTCAATCACGGCAAGTGGCTGTGCTTGTGTCTTTATTCACACCATCTTTCGACTTCATGGGTTGCCCCGTGATCTCGTATCAGACAGAGATCCACGATTCACTGCTGATTTCTGGCGTTCCGTGTTCAAATCACTCGGAACGCGCTTGAAGATGTCAACATCTGATCGTCCAGAGTCAGATGGTCAGACGGAACGTGCCAATCGTGTCCTTGAAGAGATACTTCGAGGATACGTACACTCCTATAAGAGTTGGATTGAGTTTTTGCCAACGGTAGAGTTTGCCATCAACAACTCGGTGCATGCGTCCACGACAAATACACCGTTTTACGTGACTGGTTTACGCCATCCGCATGTACCCACCTTACTAGAGTGTAACTCTGGTTTAAGGGGGGGAGGGACTCGCGCGAGCAAAAACCGATTTGGTTCACGCTCATCACGCTCTGACGACGAGGTCATTGCGTTTGATGCCGATATCGACAACATCGATATCGAAGAAGATGGTGCCAGTGAGAGCGAGGAAGCCCTCACTGAAGAATCGATTGATGTCACTGCAGTGCACTCACAGCGCACTGAAGCTAACGAGTCATCAGATGAGTTCATACTGGCTCGTGAAACGGTAGTCCGTTGTGTGCAAGACGCCATCGCCGAAGCGGTGGATAAGCAAAAGCAAAACGCTGACAACAATGGAAGGGCAAACACTCTTTTATTTAATGAATGTGACTTAGTCCTACTGTCTACGGTTAATCTACCAAAGCATGTAGTGACTAACTTGGGTAGTAGTAAACTTCTACCCAAGTGCATCGGCCCATTTCGTGTATTGCATCGCCTAGGCACTTCATACACGATCGAACTGCCACTTAAGATGCTAACGCATCCCACGTTTTACTTTGGTCGGCTTAAGCCGTACCATCAGTACGCTGCTTCTTCCGATGAAGAACGCCCTTGCGCTCAAGCATCTCGCAGAGAGCCTTGTGCTCCCGATGGTGGGCATCGACAAGGGTCTGAAGAGCGGTTATCTCATCCCGAGACCGATCAACATACAAACGAGCTACCCTTAGCTCGTCACGCAGAGACGCCAGATCTCTCTCGTTATCAAAATGAGCAAAGGCAAACTCAGCTCGGTGCCTCAAGACAGTGTCCGCCGGTTGGAGACGCATGTCCCGCTCATGTTCGATATCGTTGCGTAACCCTTGCGTTACGCGATCAAGAAGCTCTCGGGAACACACGGATCCCTACGATCGTGTGGAGAGCGTCTTCCCTCCTCCTCCACCTCCATTAGAGGACTCTCGCGGTGGCCAGAGCTATCTAGTTGAGCAGCTGTTGAACCACCGCGACGTGAATGGACGTCGGACGAGTTATCTCGTCCGGTGGCGCGGCTATCCCCCGTCCTGGGATACTTGGGAGCCCCGCTCCCAACTGATGATCGACGTACTGGGTCTGGTTGAGCAGTACGACGCTGCACATCCTGTGCCGCAGAAGGACCGCCGGAGAAAGTCTCCCCGGCACGGTCGTAAAGAGATTTCAGGTTGTCAATCCCTTCGTACATCTCAGTAGAGATACGTACGCGCCACCACGGGCTAGTAAGGAGGTAAGCCTCCTTAGGTGCTCGTGCAGAGTTGTTCACACAACATGGGCACTAGTCTCCCCATGAGAGGCAGGGTAATCCCTTCGCCCTTGACAGACGATGCAGCTTGTAGCGTGCACCTGTCGGGGTTCGCTTTTCAAACTTATCACGAGCTTTGATAGTTTTGTCGTTCCAAGCGTCACGACCTACATCCTCGAGGTTATGGATGTAGGCGTTCCACGCTTGAAGCAGTGAGGGACCATCACGCTTGTGATTCCCACTGTACCATCGATGTCTAAAGAAAGCATCGATGAAGAATTCATTCTTAGCGCGATAGTTTTTTGCACTGGGCTCAAGGTGATGGATCCTTGACGAATCGAACAACCTTGTTCGATAACGATCACTCGTCGTCGCCGACAAGTGATCCATGACGGATTTTGGAGGCATCCATGCCTTCTTCTCAGGAGCGAGACGCAAGACATTGCGGTCCCGCTCTTCCTGCGATGTGCCGACAGAAGTACTGGCACCTCGTTGCGAAGTGGTGTCCATAGGAGAACCGACACCACTGTTAGCGCCCGATTCTCGCGACCTCGAGCGCCTTCGCTTCGGCGATGGTTCATCTGATTCATCAGATGAACCAAAGATGCTACGACGCATAGCATCATCCATGCCCGCTTGGCAGGCGGGTTGGATTCAATTGCCGTCGATAAGGATCCGTCTTCCGTATCAGGAGAGTATGAGACACCGAGCTCATACTCTGTGAAGACATGCGTGTCTTCATGACCAGCGCCTGCATCACCAAGTGACACAGGCTGAGTCGCTTCAGCAACCGATGAGACATCAGTTGCTGTGGTTTCTGCTTCGGCGTCCGCACAGAGACGTGCGGACGCGCTCTCGGCGGCCTTGCTCGCGCATCGCATGGGCTTGTTAACCATGCGATGAAATGTTGGAAAGTGGACTCGGACCAACAAGTGCAAACCCTGTCCCAAATGATTTGGGACGAGTATCCATTTAGTCAATCAGTCACTAAAGTGACTGATGGTTAAGGGGGGGTGATGTAACGGGGTGAATCGTAACATAACAATTTAGAAGAAATTGTTAATAGAATATAACTATAAGAGTTGCATTCTCAGAGTATTGTCATAAGGACAAATATTCTGTAGCACTTACAAGTAGTTCCTAATTGGTTGATATAGGCCATTATATCAACCAACGAAGACGCGCCACGACAGACGCACGCAATGAGTGGTGAGCAGATAGTTGATGTACACATTTGTATTTAGACATAGTTAAATGAAGATGAATAGTGATTTATTGCAGACATTAACTATTATCAATACAGTTCTACTTTTTACTTTAACCAAGTACTCGCTTCTTCTTACCGTCTTTCTCTGCACGTACGAGTGTACGTAAAGTTCCGAGGCACCGCCTTATTCTGTCATCAGAATAAGTAGATTGTACTGTTACCAGTACAAGCTTCAAAGTGCCCCATTACAGTTGTATCACCTGTGCCAAACGATTTGTTTTCAATCTCTGGAGGTGTAAATTCATCCCAAAAATGTCGATGGATAACCGGTGCTGCAATCTTACTCGATTCCTCTACTTCGAGAGCATAAATGGACGGGGACGACGGCGATGGGGGAGATTTCGGCACGCTACTCAGTATCTGAAGATACAGTCTAACAGGGGCTTTATGCGATGCATCATCCTCGATCAGCCAGTCCACACGACAGCCAAACAAATCGGGACCGAGAGGTTAATCAGGTCGTATGGTACGATTTTCGCGCGTAATGACTTTCCACAAGCGCTGTCGTAACATAGGAACGCCGGTCTCTTTATACACCCGACGGTAGAGCTACCGGATCGATGTGGTGCGTTCAATGCGGATACGCAACGTGTTCGAGTTATTTAATCCAGAAAAGTCCACCGTCTTTGTTATACGTCTCAGTTTAGCGATACTCGTGTCGGAAGCAAAACGTAGTTTCATGTACAAGTGCTCTGTAACGGGGCACCCTGAAGCTTGTACTGGTAACAGTACAATCTACTTATTCTGATGACAGAATAAGGCGGTGTCTCGTAACTTCACGTACACTCGCACGTGCAGAGAAAGACGGTAAGAAGAAGCGAGTACTTGGTTAAAGTAAAAAGTAGAACTGTATTTATAATAGTTAATGTTTTTTAAAAATAACTGTTTATCTTCATCTAACTATGTCTAAATACAAATGTGTACATCAGTTATCTGCTCACCACTCATTGCGTGCGTCTGTCGTGGCGCGTCTTCGTTGGTTGATATAATGGCCTATATCAACCAATTAGGAACTACTCGTAAGTGCTGCAGAATATTTGTCCTTATGACAATATTCTGAGAATATAACTCGTATAGTTATATTCCATTAACAATTTCTTCTAAATTGTTATGTTACGATTCACCCCGTTACATCACCCCCCCCTTAACCATCAGTCACTTTAGTGACTGATTGACTAAATGGATACTCGTCCCAAATCATTTGGGACAGGGTTTGCACTTGTTGGTCCCGAGTCCACTTTCCAACATTTCATCGCATGGTTAACAAGCCCATGCGATGCGCGAGCAAGGCCGCCGAGAGCGCGTCCGCACGTCTCTGTGCGGACGCCGAAGCAGAAACCACAGCAACTGATGTCTTATCGGTTGCTGAAGCGACTCAGCCTGTGTCACTTGGTGATGCAGGCGCTGGTCATGAAGACACGCATGTCTTCCCAGAGTACGAGCTCGGTGTCTCGTACTCTCCTGATACGGAAGACGGATCCGTATCGACGGCGATTGAATCCAAGCCGCCTGCCAAGCGTGGCATGGATGATGCTATGCGTCGTAGCATCTTTGGTTCATCTGACAAATCAGATGAATCATCGCCGAAGCGAAGGCGCTCGAGGTCGCGAGAATCGGGCGCTAACAGTGGTGTCGGTTCTCCTATGGACACCACTTCGCAACGAGGTGCCAGTACTTCTGTCGGCACATCGTAGGAAGAGCGGGACCGCAATGTCTTGCGTCTCGCTCCCGAGAAGAAGGCATGGATGCCTCCAAAATCCGTCATGGATCACTTTTCGGCGACGACGAGTGATCGTTATCGAACAAGGTTGTTCGATTCGTCAAGGATCCATCACCTTGACCCCAGTGCGAAAAATTATCGCGCTAAGAATGAATTCTTCATCGATGCTTTCTTTAGACATCGGTGGTACAGTGGGAATCACAAGCGTGATGGTCCCTCACTGCTTCAAGCGTGGAACGCCTACATCCATAACCTTGAGGATGTAGGTCGTGACGCTTGGAACGACAAAACTATCAAAGCTCGTGATAAGTTTGAAAAGCGAACCCCGACAGGTGCACGCTACAAGCTGCATCGTCTGTCAAGGGCGAAGGGATTACCCTGCCTCTCATGGGGAGACCCGTGCCCTTGTTGTGTAAACAACTCAGCGCACGCACCTAAGGAGGCTTAATTCCTTACTAGCCCGTGGTGGCGCGTACGTAACGCTAGTGAGGTGTACGAAGGGATTGACAACCTGAAATCTCTTTACGACCGTGCTGGGGAGACTTTCTTCGGCGGTCCTTCTGCGGCACAGGATGTGCCGCGTCGTACTGCTCGACCAGACCCAGTACGTCGATCATCAGTTGGGAGCGGGGCTCCCAAGTATCCCAGGACGGGGATAGCCGTGCCACCGGACGAGATAACTCGTCCGACGTTCGTTCACGTCGCGGTGGTTCAACAGCTGCTCAACTAGATAGCGCTGGCCACCGCGAGAGTCCTCTAATGGAGGTGGAGGAGGAGGGAAGACGCTCTCTACACGATCGGGGGATCCGTGTGTTCCCGAGGCTTCTTTGATCGCGTAACGCAAGGGTTACGCAACGATCTCGAACATGAGCGGGACAGGCGTCTCCAACCGGCGGACACTGTCTTGAAGCATCGAGCTGAGTTTTCCTTTGCTCAGCTTGAGAACGAGAGAGCTCTGACATCTCTTCGTGACGAGCTAAGGGTAGCTCGTGTGGATGTTGACCGGTCTCGGGATGGGATAGCTGCTCTTCAGACCCTTGTTGATGCCCACCATCGGGAGCACAAGGCTCTCTGCGAGATGCTTGAGCGCAAGGGCGTTCTTCATCGGAAGAAGCAGCGTACTGATGGTACGGCTTAAGCCGACCAAAGTAAAACATGAGATGCGTTAGCATCTTAAGTGGCAGTTCGATCGTGTATGAAGTGCCTAGGCGATGCAATACACGAAATGGGCCGATGCACTTGGGTAGAAGTTTACTACTACCCAAGTTAGTCACTACATGCTTTGGTAGATTAACCGTAGACAGTAGGACTAAGTCACATTCATTAAATAAAAGAGTGTTTGCCCTTCCATTCTTGTCAGCGTTTTGCTTTTGCTTATCCACCGCTTCGGCGATGGCGTCTTGCACACAACGGACTACCGTTTCACGAGCCAGTATGAACTCATCTGATGACTCGTTAGCTTCAGTGCGCTGTGAGTGCACTGCAGTGACATCAATCGATTCTTCAGTGAGGGCTTCCTCGCTCTCACTGGCACCATCTTCTTCGATATCGATGTTGTCGATATCGGCATCAAACGCAATGACCTCGTCGTCAGAGCGTGATGAGCGTGAACCAAATCGGTTTTTGCTCGCGCGAGTCCCTCCCCCCCTTAAACCAGAGTTACACTCTAGTAAGGTGGGTACATGCGGATGGCGTAAACCAGTCACGTAAAACGGTGTGTGTGTCGTGGACGCATGCACCGAGTTGTTAATGGCAAACTATACCAGTGGCAAGAACTCAATCCAACTCTTATAGGAGTGTACGTATCCTCGAAGTATCTCTTCAAGGACACGATTGGCACGTTCCGTCTGACCATCTGACTCTGGACGATCAGATGTTGACATCTTAAAGCGCGTTCCGAGTGATTTGAACACGGAACGCCAGAAATCAGCAGTGAATCGTGGATCTCTGTCTGATACGAGATCACGGGGCAACCCATGAAGTCGAAAGATGGTGTGAATAAAGACACAAGCACAGCCACTTGCCGTGATTGACTCTGGTACAGCCACAAGGTGTACCATTTTGTTGAATCTGTCAACAAATACGAGAATACCCGTATTCTCGCGTGCGTCTTTGGGTAACCCGAAGACGAAATCCATTGAGATGGATTCCCAGCACTCAGCCGGAACCGGTAGAGGCTGTAAAGGTGCACGCAGTGAAGGACTTGACTTCACTCGTTGGCAGACTTCGCATGCGCGAACATACTTTCGCACAAACTGATACTGGCGGGGCCAGTAAAAGTCTCGCCTCACCGTGAGATACGTTTCTCCCGGCCACGATGTCCTCCTATAAGAGCATCGTGATACTCGAACATGATCCGCAAACGCAGATCAGTATCATATGGAATGACAACACGTGTTGTGTCACCAGAAACGGCTGTATAATACAGTAACCCGTTGCGAGTAGTGTATCGATCTGATGCAGATCGATACGCAGAAGACAATGGTTTCAACGATTCTCGAGATGGTTGTGAGGGATGTGCCAACAACTTCACTATCTCACCAACTTGGGCGTACGCCCGCCTCACATCATCATGCAACGTTGTAGATGGTACTGAGGACGTCATAACCGCAACAGTGGCTGTCTCACTGTTGGGTTTCACGACTGGTTCAAAGTCGGGCCGACGTGAGAGTGCATCAGCGACGACATTAAGTCGTCCTGGTTTGTACTCGACCGTAAAGTATGACAACCACCGCGCCATTCGTTGTGAAAGGTGCGGGCTGTTCACTGCCGTGCGTAATGACGCATGGTCAGTGTAGACAATGAAGGGTCTATCTCCTAATAGATAGACTCTGAACTTCGCGAGTGCATACTTCATTGCAAGGAGTTCCTTGTCATGCACTGGATAGTTCCGC